TTGCATAGCTATACCGACAACACGGCCAGCAAGGCAGGGACTATAGACTGCCTCACCTGTACGGGCTTCGCCGGAGCGCGGCTACATCAAAGGGAATACCGCTGTGCGAGTGAGCGGGACAACGACTTAATTTTCGGGGGCCAACAACCAGTTTTCGGGAACAAAGGCACAATCTTATTGAATTGTTATGTTCCTGAAAATTGGTTGTTGTCCCTGAAAATTGGTTGTTGTTCCTGAAAACTGGTCCATGTCCCGATAACTTGGATATGGTTTTTAAATTTAAATGGTGCTTCGCTAATTTGGAGAGTGTTTCCGTAATTTGGGCAATGCAAATATGATTTAGATTGTACATCATTAAGTTAGCCATTCATAGATTATTTAGCTGGTACGTCATTAAGTTCGGTCATGAATTTATGATTTAGATTGTGTTTTGTAAAATTCAATGCTAATTGAAGTTTACTGGTATAATAAGGCAGATTAAGTCGTAGAATTGATTTTTTCGCTCTTAAGTGATTCTCAGTGGTTTCTGCTGCGAAAACGTGGAAAAATTGAAAACATGATAAAACCTAGGAATATATCTCGTTGTATACATAAAACAATCCATAATAATTAAATAGGTTTGACCTGTGATCCCTATCTTAAATTTGCAATATAAATTAAATAACACTAAGAACAGATATACGTGTGATGATAATGTGATAGTCAGAGTCATATCCTGTTTGACAATATTTGTTATGTACAATACATTGTTTCAAATTTATTTAAACATACGTACATGTACATTCATATTTAGACTTGTTACACGCCCCTTAGTTTTTATAAAGAATTTCACGGCTGAATTCTACTACTAGCTTATCTCCCCCTGAGAACTTAGGATCAGACACCCAACTTATCAAAATTAGTAAATATTAATGTCGATTGTCTTCAATGTGACGTCACAACGACATGACATCACGGCAATTGTCTTAACTCTGACAGCACCATGGTTACTTTTAAATGAGATAAAGTGCAAAATATGAAAAAGGTTCACTTCATGTATGTTATCTTAGTCGTTTTAGTAAAGGTAAGTAATACTTACAGATTGGACCCAGTTCAGCCAGATTGTCAAAAGCACAAGCCCCAGTCGTGCCTAGAGTTGCACAAACCTGGAATCAAAGCGTTTACAGATGGTGAATGACATACACATGAAATTACAGCAGCTGAACTGGAACGTAAGTAAATTCAGAGAATCAATCCAAACCTTTCGAAAGAATTAGGATATTTTATTATAATATTATAATCTACTTCCTCTCTAAAGGATATTGAGAAGCCTAAAGATTTTAAGAAAGTATTTCTGTCTGAAATAGCTTCTTTAATGTGTTCGTATGCTGATACCCATTTACCTTCCTAACAGACTTAACAATCATTCGACTACACACATTTGTTGTAAAATATTTACTTTCTCAATTATTTCGCTTCTATTGCATCCTTAAAATGCATAGAGATTACTTCAATTCCTTTGTTTCCTTATCATGAGATGTTTTATTTTCAAAAATAGGCGAATGGCAATATATCATTTTTTTTGTGTGATATATTTTGTGAAATATGAGTAGGAAATTGCAAGAATGATTGAGTTCCTGGCTGACAATGTTCAGTTGCAGGATTTTCCAGCAAACTGGAAACAATCCTATATATAGGAACAACACGTGTCGCTTTTCTTGCCGACTAGTTCTTGTTTGTTAAATTTACTCATAAACGGTTTTTACTTGATGCACCGACTTACTTATCATTTGTTCATGTCCAAATATCGTGATTTCTGACAGATGTCAATTGCTGACTGACAATATCATAACAGCTCTGAAAGTACTCCAACGATGCTGGTTGATCAAGACTATGGATATGTTTTATAGTCGCAATCAGGATCGCAAAGGACATGTGCTATGTCTGAGTGAAATGAAGGTCGTTATTCTCCTGGTTATGCTTATTAGAGAGCCTTGTGGTTTTCTAGGCACTACCGAAGATCTTGTTGTTACATGGCGGGTGTAATCAATGAATTAGAAGACGCTTATCCTTCCGGAGCACCTGGTCTTATTTTCTTTGTACACTTTCAGAGGTCACCATGTAAATCGTTCCTTTGTTATTATATGGTCTTAGTTTTAGTGGAGTTCGAATCATGTTTTTTTTTACACTTTGGTATTCTTTAGGTTTTAATCGGTGTTTCTTTACTTTAGCATTTCTAGTGAGGATTTGATTACACATCAATAATGTCTGATGTAAATTATTTTATGATTATAGCGAGGATATTGACTACATAATTAGATAATTGGAATTTGTCTTCAAACGGTATCAGGAGTTAATTTAAATGAAATAATTCCACATTTTAATATTTCACTTATACGTTCCTTACCTTAACATTGTACTTTTACGTTTCAAATTATAACACTTTACATTCTGTATTTACGTTTTTCACTTAAATATGTTTTTATTTCGTTATTGTTTAGAATAGATTCCCTATGTATTGTCTGACGCATCTGAATATACGACTGTAACTTGAGGTATCAAGAAGTGTCTTTAATTTCCTGTTAAACCTGTAAACATAAAGCAATTTCCTTGTTGACTTTCAACAAACTATGATTTGATCAATACATAGAGTGTTCTGTAAACGATGTTCCTATTCATAGTATTACACATAACGAGATTGCATCGATCATGACACTTAGCCATTGTTAATACATTTCGACAGTATATTGATGAAAACATGACTTTCAAGGCCGGATGCTGTTCTAAATATCTTCAACAAAAATAAGTAAATAAGATATTTATGATATTGATTTCAAGCACAAACAAGACAAATTGAAATAATTGATTGGCTGACTCGGTACACAAATTTAAATAGCTTGTAAACAACATCGAACGGGCTCTAACAGACGGGGGCGCTTATAACATACGCACCAGACGCAACGGCTTCAGTCGAAGGTCACACTATTGTTCGTCTAGTTTCATCAAATTACAAGACACGTGAAGAAAAAATAACATTAGGAATATTTATATATGAAGTCGTTTGTCTTCAATACGAGATGGTACATATAGTGTACGTGTAGTTTGTCACATAAAGACCTTGGTCGATTATGCAAGAAGATTACCTCAATTCCTTCGTTCTTTTATAATACAATGTAATAAACAAAACTTATCTATTGAGGATAAAAAACCTGTTTAGCAAAGCTAATCTGCCACAGGGTACTCTGTTAGTAAAAGGGTTAGTTAAAATCATGATATAATAGAAAACAAATGAGCATTCAAATTATGAGTTCTGTTGCAATATTTTCCAGCCAACTGTATGTACTCCTATTGGAACAAAACGTGTCGCTCTTCTTGTAGACCTGCTTAGATTAGTTGAATGAGTATAAAGTTATCCTAAAGCTTATCAGAACTTACGACAAAATCTTGACAAATCCTTCAATTTCACTTTTAGATATATCGAGATTGTGAAAAAATAAAAATAAAATAAAGGTTTGTTTACGGCGTCGATCGTATATATTCTTTTTGAAATGAAGGATATCAGTAACTATTTTACTTCAACCGCTTTCCTCTATCTTAAATAACGACATGACCAACATACATAGCATGCTACTGAGCTGTACAATAACGTGAACTTTTGATTTTCAGATTGCACTTCCCCTTTCTTGCTAGCTTCATCTCTGACACCACTATATTAGATTTGTACATGAAGCAGTTGAATTGGTATACAAGGGTTTTCTCCAAATACCACGATTTCTGTGATAGATGTTGACTGCTGAAGACAAAACTGACAACACATGTCCTATAGTTGCCATTATGACCTCCTGGAGAAATATGCTACAGTTGTATTTATTGTTTTGCATTTTGAATCACCGTTCATAAAAAATCCTTGTTAGTTCTGTTTTCTTGTATTATACCGGTTTTCATTAGAAGACGCTTACTCTTCCGGAACTTCCGGTCTTATCCTTGTATTTTTTTTAGGGGTTCGATGTAAATGTGTCCTTTGTTCATATTTTGCTTTAGTTTTATCGATGTTGAGTTCGAATTCAGGTTTGATTGACACTTAGGTATTTCCTTCAAATGATATCACTATGACAACTATAAGGCAAAACCATAGTCACCACTTATATGTTACCCTCGAAAACCAGGACTGTAAATATGTCCGTCGGCACTCCACACCATCTAACACTGCCTTCAGTTCAAGATGTCGTGAAGTAGATAGAATGATTCCACTGTACACTATATATATAGTAGATAGAATGATTCCACTGTACACTATATATATAGTAGATAGAATGATTCCACTGTACACTATATAAATTAGTAGATAGAATGATACCACTGTACACTATATATATAGTAGATAGAATGTTTCCACTGTACACTATATATATAGTAGATAGAATGATTCCACTGCACACTATATATATAGTAGAGAGAATGATTCCACTGTACACTATATATATAGTAGATAGAATGATTCCACTGTACACTATATATATAGTAGATAGAATGATTCCACTGTACACTATATATATAGTAGATAGAATGATTCCACTGTACACTATATATATAGTAGATAGAATGATTCCACTGTACACTATATATATAGTAGATAGAATGATTCCACTGTACACTATATATATAGTAGATAGAATGATTCCACTGTACACTATATATATAGTAGATAGAATGATTCCACTGTACACTATATATATAGTAGATAGAATGATTCCACTGTACACTATATATATAGTAGATAGAATGATTCCACTGTACACTATATATATAGTAGATAGAATGATTCCACTGTACACTATATATATAGTAGATAGAATGATTCCACTGTACACTATATATATAGTAGATAGAATGATTCCACTGTACACTATATATATAGTAGATAGAATGATTCCACTGTACACTATATATATAGTAGATAGAATGATTCCACTGTACACTATATATATAGTAGATAGAATGATTCCACTGTACACTATATATATAGTAGATAGAATGATTCCACTGTACACTATATATATAGTAGATAGAATGATTCCACTGTACACTATATATATAGTAGATAGAATGATTCCACTGTACACTATATATATAGTAGATAGAATGATTCCACTGTACACTATATATATAGTAGATAGAATGATTCCACTGTACACTATATATATAGTAGATAGAATGATTCCACTGTACACTATATATATAGTAGATAGAATGATTCCACTGTACACTATATATATAGTAGATAGAATGATTCCACTGTACACTATATATATAGTAGATAGAATGATTCCACTGTACACTATATATATAGTAGATAGAATGATTCCACTGTACACTATATATATAGTAGATAGAATGATTCCACTGTACACTATATATATAGTAGATAGAATGATTCCACTGTACACTATATATATAGTAGATAGAATGATTCCACTGTACACTATATATATAGTAGATAGAATGATTCCACTGTACACTATATATATAGTAGATAGAATGATTCCACTGTACACTATATATATAGTAGATAGAATGATTCCACTGTACACTATATATATAGTAGATAGAATGATTCCACTGTACACTATATATATAGTAGATAGAATGATTCCACTGTACACTATATATATAGTAGATAGAATGATTCCACTGTACACTATATATATAGTAGATAGAATGATTCCACTGTACACTATATATATAGTAGATAGAATGATTCCACTGTACACTATATATATAGTAGATAGAATGATTCCACTGTACACTATATATATAGTAGATAGAATGATTCCACTGTACACTATATATATAGTAGATAGAATGATTCCACTGTACACTATATATATAGTAGATAGAATGATTCCACTGTACACTATATATATAGTAGATAGAATGATTCCACTGTACACTATATATATAGTAGATAGAATGATTCCACTGTACACTATATATATAGTAGATAGAATGATTCCACTGTACACTATATATATAGTAGATAGAATGATTCCACTGTACACTATATATATAGTAGATAGAATGATTCCACTGTACACTATATATATAGTAGATAGAATGATTCCACTGTACACTATATATATAGTAGATAGAATGATTCCACTGTACA